TGGAAATCCTGTGTTTTCCCTTTTTCTCTTTCTGAACCTCTCAATTCTCACATTCGTGTTTTCTCTTTACGGTTTCTTGTCTTTCTTCTTGCTTTCTAGAGATCGGTATAGTATAGATGAATATGTGAATAGATTTCGTGTGTTGAGAGGTAGGTGTGCAGTATGGGTGATTATGTGATATACATGTGCACAACACATAGTGATGAGTGTAACTTCCATCTCCAGTCTTGAGATCAAAAATGGCTTTAACGTTAGAACTTAGAAGGTATTCCAATCTTCTGGATACTCGAGTTGAATTCTAGAAGTCGGATTTGATTTGTTATCTATATTGATTTTCACTTTTTGGGGACTGAAGATGTTTGTGCATGAGTAGAATGTGTAGGTATTGGTATCTCATAATTGTACTTTATTGTAAGGTTCTCTGAAAACCAAATTCATCTGTCTATATGACACGAAAAGTAGAAAGTAGTGATACAAGAGGCGCGAGCCTCATCGCAGCCCATCTAGCGCAAAAAAGCACATACTCGCTAACCCTAAACAGGACTTGGAATTCCCGTTCTCCTCTGTATAACCCCATTCCCATTCTCATCCCCACTCTCCTTATCTCCCTTCTTCCCCCCTTTCCCCCTGCCCTCGAAATGTATCCTCGCCTCCCTCTCCGCCCCTCCACATCCTTCAAACAAGGCGCGAAAATCAACCCTCCCCAAAACGCCCTCTTAACCGTTCCCACCGCAACCATTACCCACAACGCCGTGACCAGGACACTAAAAATCGTTCCTAGCACTCTGAAAAATCTCGAAGGAAGCTCTGCTCCTATCATCACAGTCGATGTTGTGAAGACTCCTAAGGGGAAGGTAAATCCCCACCATCCCATATTAAACGGAAATCTGGATCTAGAAATACTCGCTAGCGCGAAGAATAACCACAGGAGACCGAAGCCCCACATGATGAGCGCGAATAGAAATCCGAGAGTGTAGAAAATGGGACCGGGACCAGGAGCTGGGATGGCGGGGAGAGTGTTGGTTTGGGGGAAAACGGTCAAGGAAACTTTTCCTAATTGCATGAGTGCGAAACCGCCTTGGCCTAGGGGACCGAGGGGGAGAAAGACAGAAACGATTACTTCTCGAGGAGGGATCTTGTAGACGGTGAGACGTTGGAAGTAGATTACTAGGATGGTCATTGCGAGGGGGAAGCCGGTTCCGAAGAGGATGTAGGAGATTAGGATGGTATAGAGGGCGTGTTGGGGATTGGGGACTGAGAGATGTAAGTTTTTGTTTGTTCATGTGTTAGGTGATGAATTTGAAGGAAATTTTACAATCTGGATTTGGGCAAAAAGTGTCGAGATTGCAAAATCCAAACAGATGTATCTAATAATGAGGAATGTGGAGTTGAGACAACAGACATAGACTTACGGACAGAAGCAACAATGCCCCCGAAGCAGCTGCAACGATAGGGGCAACGATCGGGAGAAGCCAAGCGGCTGTCATAGTTGAGAGTTCAACTTTATGAAGGGACATACTATGAGAGAGATTAGTCAAATAATTCAGAGAATCCGAGTGAAAGGGGAAACATACATTACGAAAGGAAGATAGAAACAAGTCGCCACAGAAATAACCGCATCTATCCACCACAAAGCCCAAGCCTACACACAAAATCAGTCCTCATTCACGCCGCCCAAGTTCCTCAGAACGGTAAAGGGCAAACAAAACTCACCAGATAAACCACCCATCCTCCCCAAGCCGGTACACACACAAAAACAATCATATTAATAATTGTTGCCAGTCCCATTGGGAAGGTTCCCAGAAATAGTGATTGCGCTGGATGCCGTATCATTGCGCTCCATATTTGCGGATATAATATATATCTCACTAGCGAGATACCAAGAAATGTACAAAAAAGGACGATATTGAGTACAAAAATAATGATAGAAACATAGTTCAACCAAGCACCATTGTAGGGGAGATTATGAAGCAGAATAGATACGATGCCCGTGCCCATTGTTACGGAGAACCAGCTAGAAATGGTATGTTAGAATGTGAGAAGGATGAGGAAGAGAGTGGCGAAGATCTCATCTCTGAGAGTAGAGTCTGCCCTCAGAAGCTGACGACATAGAAGAGAATAACGTACGAGGGAGTGAAATTCCTAACAATCTTCCTCCATCCGGTGTTTTGCTTCGCTATCTCTATATCCACTGGATCAAAAGTCTTCGCGCCACCAGATCCATAGGAACTCGGTATCGTATTTCCATCATCAGTCTTTCGATTAGCATCTTGCCTAGCAATTTGCGCACATGTTCCTGCACCAGAAGGATCCATCTCTTCAATTGAGATATCCAAAACGAAAAAGTAAAATAAGAAAGGAATCTGATGAGTTCAGAGTGAAGAGTCATACATATATCAACAAAGGAAAAAAAATAGTCAACTCTCCCACTTTGCGGGTAAAGGCCGAGGTACCTCCTAAACCTAGAATTTATTGGCTTTGCCTACCTATTTACTCATCACATAAATATGGAATCTGTATTATTTATCACGTAGAATTTTCGACTTGTTCCTCTTCCAGATAAAGTGAGTAATCAGATCATGGGTGTTTTTATGGAATGTTGATATATAATCAAGAGATCTAGATGGAGGCTTAAAAATGATGACTGGGTTGAAAAAGTCAATTCGGTAACGAATCGGATGTTTTCAACTTGATTGGTTACCGAGTTCGGAGTTTGATAGCAGACATGGCATACATACAGGCGAATTGGAGATGATGTGGAAGAGCCTCAACAATCTTGGTACAAATGTTATTGGGTGAGCTCTGAGGTGTTGAAGGTTTATTGGGATACAAGCTTCTTATTATAGTACAATACTCGGATGAAAGTTGAATCAGCAACGGATAGTATTTATTTGGATGGCAGAGAAATGTCAATTCTTTACCTGTCTAATAGTATCTATCTACGGGAATGCTTGCAACGCCAACTTTCGTCAAGAAAGAAGCAATTATACCATGCTATGCATATGTGCATGAAACAGAAAACCGAAGGTTCTACTTCAGTGACATGAGTGGGGGTATGCACAAAGAGCTCCGCCCGAATTCTCCCTTTCCTTTCCCTCGACGTGTTCTACCCATTCAACCAAACCATTCCTTGGCCATGCCAACCCTGAAAATTCATTTCCGCCAAAATCATCCAAAATCCATCATTCATAATCGTAATACCATTTTCAGACTTGGAGGTTCTTGCCGAGAACCTTTGCGAGGTCATCGACATCCTTGTCTTCTCTTTGTGCAACAGGTTCCCCTTCTTGAGCCTCCTCTGCGTCGTGGATCAATTTTTCTCTTTGCTCCTCTTGTTCTTCCTCTTCTTCTTCCTCATCACTCTCTTCGTCGCTTTCTCCTTCCAGATCCTCCAATTCGTCAAGACCCCAATCATCCTCAATGATTATCTCACCCGCTAACTTCTCCTTTCTTTCCTCCAACAACTCCTTCAATTCCACAATGCAATCATGATCCTCGTCGAATTTGTTTCCATTCAACTCAATCTTCTTCAACTTTGGTAGAGCGTCCTTCGCAGCGGCGGTAAAGACTGTTAGGCCCTTTACTCCAATATCATTGAACTGCAATCTCAAAATCTCCAGCTTGGTGTTCCTACCCTTCTTCAAAGCCTCTGCAAAAATAACACTTCCCTTCCCACCCAACAAGGAATCTCCAACACCTAGCTCCTGAATATTGGCCCATCCTCCCACGACTTTAGCCAAGGCCTTTGAACCCGTAATTGTAAAAGTATTGTCTTGTAGATCGAGAATCTTAATGTCCTTCGCATATTTCAAACCTTCACTCAACAAGTGACTGATTCCTTCTTGCCGAATGCCATTCTGGACCATCTTGACTTCCTTTACACCGGTATGCAAGCTATATGCCTTTGCCCAAGCCGTCATACTTCCATTCTCCAATCTATTGCGTCCGCAAATGACAGTTTCCAAATCCGGAACTTGTTTTCCTGCCGCACGTGCCTCGACTTTCTTTGCGTGTAATGCGCTAAGTGCATCTGCAATTAGAATACCAGCATGAGGTCCCAGTCCGTTATTATTGAGAATAAGATGTTGAAGTGGAGTGTGCGAAGAAAGGAATGCGACGAGTGGAGCTTGAGTATTGAGTCCAAAGGCATTATCATTCAAATTGACCGTGTGCAAATTTGGGAGCTTGAGCAGAGCAGTAAGGAGGGAAGAAAGAGCTTGTGGAATTTCGTTAAGCAATCGTCCAGTAAATATATCCGCCAGGTTTGCAATCTTAATGTAGAGGTCAGTAACTATATTTGTCCCCTCGTTCTAGGCATCTAAGATGCCGCTCTGGGAGGATTATGACGGAAATTGATGGAGGAAAACCCGACATACCTTCAAACTTGTCTTCTCTTCCAAAACCTCCCCAATCGCCCTACAAGCCTCAACGCCCAAGGTGTTTCCCAAAAATCTCACTTCCTCCACATCTTTCATCTCCCTCAGTGTCTTGATATGCGGCTCGACATCGGCGGCGGAATCTAATTTCAATCCCTTTCCTTCCAACGAGAAAATTTTTGTTGCGGTAGCCATCTTGAGTCTTAACGGTGCGCAAGTATAACAAGTTTCGAAAGAGACAGGAAAAAAAACAAAAATTTGCAAGTAACAGATCTAGTTGCAGATTGTAGAAATTGATGGATGCGGCAATGTTTTTAGGTGGTGGGGGTTGCAGCTGCAGGTCTTCAAATGCTCAGGGTTAAGACAGGCTAATCTCGATTTGATCATTTGACGGATCGGGGAGACTTTTTACCGACATGCCGGCCGCAGACGGCCGCTCGGTCCGGGATAATGTCGTGATGTTATGTGACGGATGGAATTTTGGAGCTTTCTTACAAATACAAATACAAATATATAATTCTACATATAACTCCACGAACACAACAAATTGAGAGGCAAAATTACGACCAAGTGTACATGTACTATTTACAAAGCCTTCTAAAAGACGATATTCGACATATGAACATGTCAACATCTGCAATCAACATGCGTATGTCTCTCTCTCTACTTCAAAGTTCCTTGCCCCATCCATTTCGAGTGAGCAAGTTATTGATTTTGAAACTAGCTACATCGTCCACCAGCGCAAATATGGGCGTAGATCTTAAACCAACTGGAGAAGCTTCTGCAAAGCCCAAGGTACGGACCCATTTTCCTTACATGATTGGCAGTTTAGAACATTAGCTAAGTAGTTTCTGGAAAAGCCGTGCTGCGTATGTAAAGATGAGAAAGCTGCTCGAGACGAATGTATGCTATTTAGCACGGCCAAGGATCCGCAAGTAGCTTGCGCAAGTATGGTGGAAAAATATAAGAGTTGTATGGCTGGTTTTGGGTTCAATTTGCCATGAGTCAATGGCGAAGACCGCCTGTACGATAGATATTAAAGGATTACGATGGAGTTTGGGCATTGATACGGCGTTATACGGCGGAATTTGATGGATGTAATGGGCCAAGAAAGGTCACGTAGAAAGATCCTTTTATGGATCTCATAGGATCACGAAGAACCTCTCAACTCTTTATTTGAGCAGATCATGTACGGCAAACGTATTTGTCTTGTAATGTTGTACAACTTTATAGATAATGGTGAACCACCAAGAAATCCCTCTCATATGAGATGACTTTTATTCATCCTTGTTTTCCCGCTTACACCTGAACGCCTACTTTCCAATTGACATCCGTTTCGAGTTTTGGTATCATAATCCTGCAAGCACACTTTGAACTCCCACGCTTCCCGAATCGTCTCTCTTCAATACAAAAGCTTTAAAGTCTGCTTTCTGCAACTTCTTGCTGGCCCCACTTGCAAGCACAGCTCTCGATTTTTCTTTAAGAGCTTCTGCTCCAACGATGAACAAGTTGCCAATGTCGCTAAGGATTTCCACTTCACTCGTGATATCCTTTGTTAATGGCCAGTCTTTCAGCGCAGACACATAACTTGACATATCTTTCGTAACCATCAAACCACCAGTAGCATTCACTTGGAACTTTTTGAAGTGTTCGAACAGCATGTCTCGAATGCTGATCGCGAGCTCACAACTAAATACCTCGAGATTCTGCCCATCAACAGCTTGTGCGGAATTCTTAGCCACGCGCTGGAGAAAATTACAGATAGCAAGGCAGGTCGCAGTTTGTAAGGTCTCAATTGAACCAAGATCACTATCCTTGGGTCGAAAGTCCGTTTTTTTCTGGCCTGCCAACAGCCTTGTAATCCAGTTCAGTACCACAGTAATGGTACTACGCATGATGTCGTTAGCCTTTTTTTCGATTCTCTCCACACTCGCTTTGGTCTGTGATTCCATTCCACGTCGAACAGTAGTATTTGTTTCTGCAAGGCGTATCAGTACCGTGTTAATGAATCGTGACATCACATTTGTAATGATGACTGCCGGTCGCACTGAAGGAAGGTAGGCCAAATCAGGCTCGGTTTTGATGTTCTCTTGGGCGGCGGCTCGTTCGGCAGCAGCCTCAAGTGCTGTCTCGATATACACCTCACCCATGCTGCTAAGCAGGAGGTTCAGAAGGGCCGAGACATCTTTAGGTGTGTCGCTTCCACTTCCCATCTCCAACGCTCGTCGCACACCTTCTGCAAGCCATTTAAGCATACGTTTGGCATTTGCGACACTAATCACACCATCTTCTTCTGTGACTTCAATCTCATTCTTATTGTTATCAAGGTCTCGAAGGCCAGCAACACGTAACATCATAGCCTTTTGAGTGGGGGTGAGTTCAGACGAGTCGAGACGATCGATGTATGCATCCTTTGCCGAAGATAACAGCTGACTTCCCTGCTGGGCCAAAGAAGCCATGAAACCTGTTGGAACCTTTTTTCGCCGTGAGTGGTAGATAGTAAACTTAAAGAGCAATGAAGAAAAGAGCTCCTCCAGACTCTTCCTCTCTCGATCAATATACGAATTTCCAACCAGATATGGAACGAACAGTTCGTCTAATTGCTGATCTAGACTTTGTGCAGTTTGAGCTGTGCAAGGTTCGGGGTGCTCTGTAAGACCGTGTGCTTTAAGGTCTTCGATCAAGCTATTAATATAAGTCCTCGAGGCATGCAACGACCTAAGGAAGGCTAAAGATGAAATAGTATCGGCTTTTTCAAGCACCATCTCTAGACGCTGCTGTATAGATTGCTGAAATATGCGCTGAATAAATTTGATGAGGACGACTTCATAGAATGGAAATGCTCGCTTGATAATGAAAGATTCCTCTTGCATGACAGCTCTGATCTCATCAATGAGAGATTGCAAGCTGGGTTCAACTCCTGGGGGTTCAGAGTCGGGATCGGCTAACATCTCCCACGTCTCATTGTCGGTTGTGACCTCCTCTGCAATAAGTTGACTTCGGTCGATGAAGAATTGATGCTGATTGACAAATGTACCAATGACACTAGATCCACCGTTGAAATCGTGTAAGACCTTTGCGCACTCGAGCATATCATCAAAGTTCTGGCGCCGATAACTGTTGTCAAACTGTTTCAAAAGATCCTTTTCTAAAGTTTCCGAGAATTTCTCTATAATTTCCCTAGTGTTATGGCCTTTGTATCCAGCAACGCCGTTCGTAATTCCATTGGCTTTTTTCGAACCATTAGCCCAAGATGCTGGATCCAGTCTCTGGCTCATGCGCATTAGCTGCCTGGCGATAACAGCAGATCTAACTTTGTTTTCCCCTCCACCTTGCCGTCTGATCATATCTTCCAAAGATATGAGCGACCCATTCTCGCTAACTTCTATCCAGCATTGTATCAAGAAGTTGGCATCCATCGCACGCCGTCTCTGCTTGTCTAAGTCCTCGAGTCTTTCTCCGATTTGGACCGCAATATTTCCCCCTGCCTCCGGTCGCCCATATCGATCTGTGGTTGCGCCATTCGTACCATTAGGATTATTAAGTGTTATATCGAGCGATTCAAAAGAATCAATTGACTCATCCAGCTTGCGCCCTAAAGTGTCCAATGTTTGATCATGCTGTATCTCGGCCCGCCGAACAGATGTCAGGAGGTCTGTTTCCTTCTCCTCTAGCTCATCTGAAAGTGTCGCAAGCTGTTGTAGGGCACCTGGATTCTCATCAGCATTCGGAAGTATCTACAATTGAGAAAGTGAGTATAAATACTTTCAAATGTCCTTATGAATGGTTTGGCATCAAATGCAGGTTGAGCTGGTCCAGAACGCCTGTTTATCGGAATCGCACTTTCGGACAGTTCTTCCACAAAATCTCTCACTATGAAGTCTTTACTTGAGAAGTTTTCCAAAGTAAAGCTTGGCCCTTTTGGATATAGTGATCTCACTGAACCACTATTAAGAGATGCCATACTTAAATTTCATGAAGCTTGTATGTGAAGTGCGTTTTGACTTATGGGAACAATGTATCAATAGCATGGGTCGGAGGCGCGGAACGGTCAGCCTCGCTTGAACCTTGAAGACCTGTGGACCCTCAAAAATCGTGGCCTCGTAATGAATTCCAGCCTTTCAAATGTTCTAGAGATATTTTAGGACACTTCGCTCCCCAATTTTCTATCCATTATCTTGGGGTTCCTTACACTTCCTGTGTCGCTATCAACATGACTAGCAAATCGAAAGCTCTCGAAGCGTACCGCGAAGATGCAAAAGGTGGTCACACGCTATTAACAGCAGAAGAAAGACGAAAGCTTATCGAGGTAAGTTTTGATTTCGCCCTGTCGTTGTGTACCTGCAGGTACCCATTCAATTGACTCGTCCACTCACTGACGCTGTAACTGCATTTTAGCCACTGCTCCCTTCCGATCTACCCTCGCGAACTTCATCAACCAAAGGCCAAAGCAGACCTAAATCGAAGTCGAAGTCGAAATCGTCAGCTTCAAAATCTCGCTCTCATCTTGGTATTCGCAATTTCTTTCGTTTCCAATTGCACGGATTAGTATATGCTATTGTGCATGCAGTATTTTCGTTATATATTAGATTGAGGCAAGCATATCATGCGGTAAAGGATCGCATATTTGCGATTTTATTTTACCATCATCGGACGCCAGGATTGATACAGAAGGATGTAAAGGGGTTAGAGAGGTTACCCGAGCATGTCAGTGTCATATTAAATCTGGAGGACGGTGCAAGAGGAGGAGCGGGATTGGAAGCTCTAGTCGATGAGGTAGCAGAGATCACAGCATGGTGTGCATGTGTAGGAATTCCAATGTTGTCGGTGTATGAAAAGACTGGTATGTTATTGTAGTATGGAAAGGAAGAGATGGTTGAGGGCGTGCTAATGATGGAACGCAGGAATTCTTAAAGGTTATATACCTGCGACGCATCGGGCAGTAGTAAGAAAATTGGCCTCATATTTTGGACCAGATCATCCAGCGTTGTCTATGAGAGCTCCCCATGTCCCATCCATGGAATCCTCATCAGCTACGTCGACAACCGATACACTTCCTGGCTCTCTACAACATATTTCGGTGCTACTTCTTTCGAATGAAGACGGCCGGGATTCATTGGTTGACTTGACCAAAACGCTAACAGAGATGTCCCAACGAGGCAAAATTGAGTCGAATGATATCAGCCAAGAACTCATTGATGCCGAAATTACGGAAAGCATCATGGGAGAGCCAAATCTTTTGATATTATTTGGACCAACGGTCGAACTATCCGGATATCCACCATGGCAATTACGCCTCACAGAAATTTTTCACGTGCAAGATAATCATGGAGTTGGATATCAAGTTTTCTTGCAAGCGTTATATAACTATGGTAACGCACAGATGAGGTTCGGAAGATAGATTAGATTCCATTACAATGCGAGATTATATAAATTCGGATGGTGGGTGAAGTTTACTTCTAATCAATCCAATCATAACTCTTTCCATATTCTCATTTCCTTCAGAATGTCATCCCATTTATACACAGGACCAGTGCCGACATTATAATTATAGTAGTTCTCTGTCCCGCCCTTTACCATAGCACGTCTAAAGGTAATATTGATCCTCCCCCCATCATCAGCATTCTTACCTGTTCGCTTGGGAATAGAATGAAGCCAATTTGCTTGCGTCCTACCTCGCATCAATATCATATCTCCGCTTGCAAGTGGCAGCTTGATAGGTTTTGTTTCTGGCGGAGGAGGAGCGTTATCGTTTGGCGGGATAGGTTTGTGTTTCATGAGGAAATCTCTCCTTGCTCCAAGCGAGTAACTTGCAATAGCCGGTAATGAGCCTAAAAATCTTTCATCGTCACTACTGTTGAAAGTCGGGAAATCAGCATGTCCTATCAAAGAAGGATCTTGGAGGAAAATGAAAACAGAGGTTGCATTAGAAATAGAAAAGATGTATCTGGAAAAGAGGAAAAGTGGGCCTTGAAAGCAGAGCACAGAATTGGGTGTGAAAGAAAGCGAAACCTGTCTACTGTTGACGTACTGATATGAGATCGAATCGGATCCAGATGCATAATAGTTGACAAGACAGAAATTGAACTTGCAACCCGTCGCCAATTCAGTGGAAAGTCGTAAATTGTCTAAACATTTGGGGATTGGCCGAGGTGGATATTTGGTGTAACATCGCTCTTTCTCGATTTTCTTACCACTATTGGCATCAATAAGTTCTCCATTGTTATTGAATTTAGATGTTTCATCGAGACCGAATACTGTGGTCCACCTTCTCGAGTCTTAGTGATTGGCTTGCATTCAAAGAATGGAAGGTCTACCTTGGAGTTTTGATATGCGTCGATATACCTCCTCGCCTGATATCATACTCCACACGATAAAAGGGCAATTCCGAACGAAGAAAGTGGAACAGCTGACGTTCAAGATATTTGGGAATGTAAGGCTCGAAGTAAAGAAGATCGAGATCAGCCTGATCGTTTATCTCTTTACCAATCGTGGATGGAAACGAAGACAGCTCCGAAGATATGGATGAAGGAAGACATGGTATTGGAAATGGATACGTTGGGTGACGCGTGAATTCACGTTCCTTCAATGATTAGTGGCGAAATGAAGCTGCTGTGTTGTATGATACTTACCAATGCTTCTCCTGCTGATTTCGCTTCTTCTGTTGTTGCCAATTCTGATACTCGGGGTTTCTTTGCCGGTGGTTTGAAGAAGGAATCTATCGTTCTTTTCGCTGTCGACATTTTGAGATACAATTCTTTATAGAACTACACAACAGCAGTCGACGCGTCGGGAAATCTTAATGAATATAGCCTTTCATGACATCACCACCTGATTCGGTCATAGCCTCGCGCAGCCTTATCGCTAGCTTACGATCTAAAATCTCTCGCTTCAGCCTTGTGCGAAATTATGAATCGTCTACACACAAAATTAAAACCTCACAAGAAATGACAAAACGATATGAAGTTATGGAGGTATGTTCGCATTCCGTATTAACGGGTGGATTTACTGATATCGTACGTAGAAATCTACAGTAACATCTAACGACCAAATGTCATTATTTCGCCCACCCGTTGTGCGCTCCGCAGCGGGAGTACTCGATCGTGCTCTATTTTCCAAAACTATACCAATTTCCGCAGCGAGACTTATGAATAATAAGATTATATCGAAATGTCGATCGCAATTGACAAAAAGCAAAGAAATGTTGTTAGAAGATAGAGTTGCGCCTATACGATCGGATCCAGATCCAGAATTTGCGGCGAAAGGTGGAAAGTGTTTGCTTCTGAATCCTAAAGTAAAACATGATGGTACAGTACCAGAGATTTCTTAGAAGATGCAGAATGAGATTCTGATTTTATTTGGCAGACCCTACCACTTGGAGTCCAATTTTACATGAAGCTGTGAAGGCACAGGAGCTGGGAGTTATCCCATTTGATTTGACTCTGGGCTATGATCATTGGAATTATAGTATGTTGTTTTCTGGTCACCAAATGCATTTATAGGAATTAATCTTTACAGTCGATATCATGAAGTCTATTCTTCCCGAAGATGCCCAAGGAGAAATTCCAGTCGGTTTCGCCATTGTCGGGCATGTTGGTATTACTCCTCTTTCCAATCGTCTGAGCTTCTCTAACAGTACCAGCCCATCTCAACCTACATGACGAATATCTTCCTTACAAATCTCTCGTTGCGGCAGTTCTTATGGACAAAAATCCCACCATCCGTACGGTCATCAACAAAATTGATGACGTGGGCACCGTTTCTGAATACCGGACTTTCTCTTACGAAGTGCTCGCCGGTGAAGATAACATGAATGTTGAAATCCGCGAAGGAGATTGTACATTTCGATTCGATTACTCGAAAGTTTATTGGAATAGTCGATTGCAAACGGAACATAAGCGATTGGTGGATCTTTTTGAGCCTGGGGATGTCGTCTGTGACGTTATGGCGGGGGTGGGTCCTTTCGCCTTGCCAGCGGGTAAGAAAGGGGTTTTTGTGTGGGCAAATGATTTGAATCCGGATAGCTACAAGGCCATGAAAGATGCGGTAGTTAGAAATAAGGTCTGTCTCCCCCTTACTGAAAATCCCGCCCCTTTTGTTCATGATGATGTCAATATCACGACGGTCAACATAAACCACAAGTTGGGTTACTTTGATGAGAATGCCTTTGACACGGCGCTATAACCTGATCAAAAGTCCATTCTTCAATCGTATTGAAAGTCACAAAAGCTCATATAACTAATAACTCTTCAGGTCGAAAATTTCGTTCATCCCTTCAACGAAGATGGCCACAAATTCATCCATCAAGCCGCAGATGAACTCCTCCAGCTCACCGCCACAAACCAAAACACCATTACTATCGCTCCCAAACGACCCTCGCGCAGTGCTCCTCCGTCATCTCAACCACCTCCACCTCCCAAAATCCTCACTATTCCTAACACCATCTCTCACTTCGTAATGAATCTCCCTGCCACCGCCATAGATTTCCTTCCCTCCTTCCACGGCCTCTATCATAAATCTCAACACCTATTTGTTCCACACACGGAAACAAAATTACCAATGGTACATGTCCATTGTTTTGCGGCGAAGAATGAAGATAACGAAGCGGCTAATGTAGAAATTTGTGAAAGAGTGAGCGAGAAACTGGGTGTGAAGATTGAGCAGGGTGATAAGTATGAGACGAAGGTTTGGGATGTGAGAGATGTAGCGCCCAAGAAGAGGATGTTCTGCGTTAGCTTCAGGATTCCGGAAGAGGTGGCTTTTGGGGAGAGGAGGAGTTAGAGAGCAGTCGGATAAGAGGGCTAGTCATGCGAGTTGGATTTTAAGTAATTAAATTACCTACCTATAGAGACTACCTACATATGTTTGGATCTAGCATAAGAATTGAATAAAAGGAAAGAGAAAGATGTTACAAACCCGTAGAGTCTACATCTTCATTCTTGAATACCATGGGCACTGCTCACCTACCTACCTACAATGACAATACCCACAACAATATTAGACCACGCTCTCTTGGTACGAATTTCAAAATATACAACAGAAACAAGTACCGTACATGCAGCATTTTAATGTCCGAAGCCAAGGCAAAGTACAAGTACAAATCCATATACCTCGCTTCGGGTGTCACATCGCACGGCATGGGATGATTTCCTCTCTCCCTACAAGCACCTATCAGGATCTGCATGTGAAAATCGGAACGAAGAAATCAGACCATACGTTTGTGTACTACCTACGTATACGTAGGTAGGTAGGTAGGTAGGTAGGTGCTGTGGGTGAAAGCGTGGGAGAACCTGGTTGCGTGGGGGCGTGGAATGGGGTATTAGTCATTTGGTGTGCGCTTGGGGGGTGTGCTTGGAGATTGTTTGGTTGGTTGATTGGTGGTTTGTTTGTAAGTACTTGTGCACGTATTGTGTGTTGGTAAGCATGTATCGGTATGTAGGTGTGTATGTTTGGAGCGGCACGTATGTAGTTGATATAAAGTGTGGAGGTAGCACGACATGGGAAGACCGTGAGGCGTTGTTGTTTGTATCTATCCAGGCTCTTGCTTGATTTCTCGCTTTCTGTCTTTCGCCTATGTTGAGCTTCTGCACAGTCTTTATTGGGTGGGTTTGGGCTGTTGATGTGTGGTATGGTATGATATGTTATGATTTGGGGTGTGTTTGCAGTTCATGTCGATATCTATCGGAGAATGTATCCAATGGCTTCGATGTTTCCTGGACCCTGAAGCTTTTCACATGTGATTTGTGAGATAGGAGGTAGGGATGATGAAAGCAAACGGGGCCATATCGAATATGTAACTCCATCACAAGTGAAAGAGATTATGATAATCATCCGCCTACCCCAAACATCAAAAGATCTTCCAAATTCGATTCTTCGACATCTCGGCTGCATCTATACTGACCATCATCCTATTCGGAAACCAGGGAGAAAGGTACCTGTACATCCGCATGTTGTGACATTCAAGGTACCTGGCTCGCTTATTCGGCACTTATTCGACTCGACCATTGTGTTTGCTCGATGCGAGATTTGATTCAATGAACCATGTAGGATGGATGTATCATGTACATCATTGTACATAGACGAGGAGAAGACGAAGTATTGAAGTAAAGACCCCTGAAGCAGTACACTTGAAGCAGGCAGGGTTGGGATACGACACCGATAGATGAGATATATTTGATACTTCACAGAGATACTTGATAGAGTCCCATTGACTTCTAAGAAAGATGATCAAATAAGTGGTGCTGTCAAAAACAACATTGAAAATCGGTTATTGGAACCTACTCGATCCTGATGGGAATTGGCGAGTTAAACGTTGCTTTCCTAATTGATGGAGCATTGATACGCATATACCAAGATCTTTTATTATCCATGTGGATAGCAATTGCACCATCACATTCACCTGAACTCCTTCCCGAAGATCCGTATCTGATCCCGAAAGGAAATTCTTGTCCCAGAAACTGCGTGCATCGTCTCAGGAGCCCGTATCATGTGAAAGTGGCTGCAGCAGCACTTGCGCGGCTTGCATCAGACATAGAGGGCTTGCATAAGCTTCGCGCCATTACTACGCCATCATTAATTTATGCATGTACCATAACGTGTCATTCCGAGTGTTTCCGATGCGACGATGGACGATTGGGGAATGACGTGAGGAGAAAGTTAAGATACGAGGGTGTGGGATACGACGGTGGATGTATGAAGGTGGTATTGGATATGAGGAGATTATAGATAAGATTTGAGGGGGGGGCTGGAACCTTCTATTTCATGTATAGGTATTTGGTACTGTGTTTGTGTATGGATTTTTGGCATTGTGTTTGTGGTTTCGAGGTCGTTTGGTGTGTGCTGGTTGATTTCTATTGTGAAGGTGACTACTTCGTGACAGCGGGGTAAAAGGGATGAAAACAAGGGAGCTACCCTTCAAACTGACATCTTTAAGCACGAATAATTGGCATCTATGCCCGGCAAGTTTCAAGCCATCAAATCAAGATGTGATGCGCAAGCCACTTGCATTCCAAGCCACTTCTTTCGCATGGTATGGGACCGATTGCCGAAAGCGTCGTCGGTTGCTTAAAATTAAGAGCGGTGTGTTGATGAGTTCCTCTATACAAACATACGAAATCCAGGAGAGAACTCTTTCCAGGGCATTTATATCGTGTTGTGTCGTTGCCAGGAGTTCGTAGCACGGCGCAGAGGGTGAACCGTTATCATATGATGTGTGACGGGTAAGGGGAGATCAGCATGGGCTTGATATGCTGGGGTTATGAGGGGATCTAGATTAACTCCCCAAGAATACGTCCGTGGTGTGGGTGAGGGGTAGCAATGGGCAGGTGTCTATTATTGTAAACAAGAAGCACATGAATCATGAATGTCAACTACCTCGATGTAGTGGGGCTGCTTCATTGAAAAGGCTGGTTACTACTGCAACACTTGAGATGGTCAAGAGCTCGAGTGTCAAGCTAGGTATGTTAGGAATGACATTGCACATTTAGGCGATGAATGATTAATCGATACAATTGTCATGTTTGATGACAACATATACACCATTTCAGCAAGATTCGACAAGAGAAAGAAGATAAGGCGCAAATGTTTATGTTTATGTGCAGTTCATGTACCTACGACCTACCTACATACATACACACATACATACATACATACACACAGTCTCCGAGTACTGAGGTAGCAGTCGGTATTAATTGAATTGTGGAAAATAGTACAATTCACACAATGCCTCGATAGGTAAGAGGCAAATCAGAAACCTTGCTCTTGCATTTGGTGTGGGTGACTTCTGAAGTTCTGAGCGACTTTCCTCCTATCAAAGTGTTATCGATTGGTCAATTGTTCGATTGTGCCAAACCCCCACTGGACCATAGACTCATCGAGACCTTTGCACCCTTGATAGTCTGTTCATGCAACAATGCCCTGCCTCGCCTGCTTCAGCCTTCAATACTCTCGACATAGAAATGAGATGGAAAACACTTGCGCCATGTCGCCATGGACTCCGTACTACTGTGTGAGATTTGGCCAGAGACTCCACAATTCGGCCGGATGAATTACTCTGGAACTGTGCGGGATACCGCTTTGAGATTATCATCGGTCGGATGTAACTTTCCCATTTTAAAAATAAAAATTCACATCTACCGGGTACCCGATATCTTACAGCCGTTGAAATTTTCACTCGAGATTAACTTGCTAGGTACTCTTTTCACATCCAGTCTTTTTGAAAATCGATAAGGGTTACCTGTTGGTTGCCCCTCCCCAGAGATGTCGCGTTCTGATAATCACGATTTTTAGATTGCTGGCTATTTCCTGCACTGGTGGACTGGTGGACTGATGGACGAATGGCGAAAGATTTCCCGGGATATGAGTCAGGTTGACCCTGAACTTGCATTCAAATGCCAGTGTAAGAATATAGCGGCTTCTACCACTTTATAGTTTGAGTTCTGACGCTTCTCCTCATCATCATTGGATATTGTAGCCATGTCAAAGTCAAAGTCGAAGTCGTTGACGAGCTTCCGATAAACTGATAAGCTGTAGACCATAATGAGGGAGACTTCTCGGCACATCAAGTTGTGCTTTGCATAGAAATCAAATCCAAAGAGTCCACTGTGTGGCTTGTGTTAGCTGCCAATAGAGAAGTTGAGAACCAATTTTAAAGCTTTGTAAGGGACTTTGTTAAATTTGGAACCACTTTTTTCGAAATGCGGGATGTGATGTGCAATATTTGTATATCACTACCCAGTACTCAAGAATACACTCGTGTTTGACCACTTGTGTGAACCAATTATTAATATGACAAAGTGCCGCATGTTGTATGCGCCCGCCCAATGTTCGTTCCATATCGAGCTTTCACAACCTTGAGCATTCAATAGTTGCTGCAGGAAGTGATATACTCATGGATGCCTGCCTGCTATGTGATGCTTGTTCTTGAGGTCCTTATCAGATACAGACGTTGATGATTCTAAACCTTTCATAGGTGTCCGCACATCTATTCCCTTTCTCTAGTGTTTAGTTGATTTTCAAACCTGATTTTGCTTCACCATAGTTAGATGGATGGATATCGAATGGATGGAACAAACAGAGAGAGTTGAGGGCGGTAGAAGCCGCGGGTGTTTCTCCATAGATGTCAGTGATCATGCAGATGTCGTATTTGGGTAGGACTATGCAGAGATGACAGCGCAAGTTGTTCGACGGCACCGGTTGATCGTCCTAGATCATCCATAAAGGACAATGCGTACCGGCTCGGTGTAGACATTGTTGACCTTCGTATATAGCAATACGGAAGTGAAGCTACTACTATGTGATTGTTTTCGGACAACTACGATCTGAGAAACACTTCATCGGTCAAACCCGAGGCGCAATTGATGGCTCCTCATTAGTGGTGCAGTCAAAAGGCTGCGTATTTCTTGGAAGTGGGAAATAGACGATCTCCCGTCGGGCTCGGTTTCCTATCAGTAGATTGAGGCCCATATTTGTAGAAGAAGCGCCGAAAGTAATAATCTAAAATTGTCAGCTCTCAATGCCGACAATACACTTGCGGCGTTTGGTGAAGAGAACCAGGAAAGAATGGTCTGAATTTAAAATTACAACACAATCAGCGAAGCAGAACTGTTTGAGAACACTTTGGTAATTTCCCCAGACCATCGAAGGATTATACTTTGAACTTTGATTCCGTAGCCATGGACCTAAGTATATACGTATAGGCCAAGTTTGAAGATAGCCGACCTTCTAACTTCTTACATGCTGCCATTCTTAAGCCATTGCATGTGTTTCTGTCAAAGCGAGCGAATAAAGTATTCTGAGATAAGATTATTGCGTGACCAACTACTCCAACTACTCCAACTACTCCAGCAAATATGATTAGTATGAGTGAATTCTAGGATAACCTACCGTATAAACTCAACTACTCCAAAACATACTTTTCCCATCACGGAACAAGCTTTGACTAGAACATTGGACATTTCTGTTGATTCTTCAATCCGGAAATAGGAGATTGGGGGAGGGGGGGGGGATATTGATTCTAATAGGCCTGACATATCTGGAGTAATCGAGGTTAAACGGCATTGTCTTGATATTTGTTATGCTGCTCGAGGAGACACTTGGAGTACGGCCGACACAAGACAGCAAACCCCAACCAAGACTGAAGTTCGGTAAAACACTCGCGATATAAAAGGTTTTAACATGGATTCTTTCTTGATATTCTCAGGGGTTATCTAGGAACTAGAAAACTAATTGTCGTTCCGGTCTATCTTGAATCTGAGCCATCGCCTCATGGGGTAATTGGCATTTTTAGTGGCAATGGCAACGAGAATTTTCTCTCCGAGCCACCAGCCTACTCCTGCAGCCAGTGAGTATTCGGTGTTGCTCGTCTCCAATGATCCCCACATTGTCCCGCAAAGAGAGAAAGACCGAGATGTGATTGGTGGATGAGGTACAACCTTGGAGAATTCTAGGTTCGGAAGATCGGGTTTGTAGGTTGAAGTGTTTGTCGTCTGTCGTTGTTCTCCTCATCTTGAGAGCCAGCTTAGCACAATTAGTGAGCTTGGTATATCTATTAGTAGGATCAAGGCAGGAGGTAGCGAACGGCTTCATTATCTCTCGAGATTCGCCTTGTATCATTGTAGCAATGGTTCGACATGAAGCATTGGAGACCGATGTGATATCTCATTAACCTGGTAGATCGCTGATGAGCATTTCGCTTCCACCATATCGGTCTGGAAGGGTTGGTCTGACCCGGTCTACGACGCTATAGGTGTTTTATTGCCTGTCAGATACTAGGATATAAAATATGAACGGCCATGAGGTACGAGAAATACTAGCGGTTTGATATGATGATGATGCAGCAGAAGATGCAAAGGTAGACGGGAGATATAAGTATGTAGTTCGAGGTGCGTACGAAGCACAGAATTTACTCAAGACTGGTTAGGTAGAGCCACTGCAGTGTAGCACGAATACACGTAATCTACCGGAATGTACCTGCGTGCGAGAAGGTAACAAAGCATCCCAAAACGTGTTCATGCCACATATTGATCGATATATCAAAGAGCAGCTTTGTTAGAGTTTTGATAAGTTATTGTATGAGACTATCTAGTAGACAAGCCACTACCTGGATACAATGGAAAAAGGCCGAGATCGTACATTCGCTCACGACGCTCAGGCCTAGATATCAATCGAGACAACCTCCCCCTCTCTCTACACTGTATTCGTATCTGGGTAGCTATCTGTTGACCCATTCTACCTATCACGTATCAACATCGCATGATGAATGTCCGAAAGTGTTTCGTTTCCCCAGTCTTCCAAGGTTCTTCTCCAGGAAATCGAAAGCTTATCGCATAACCTATTGCTAGAATCCATACCTTGTCAGAGATAAAAGATGGAGAGAGTTTAAAAGATCTTGATACTATTGATGATTAGATACACCTAGGCCTGTAGTTGTCTAATAGCAAAGTTCTTAGGAAGGAAGAAAAGCTAAAAGTTCACGAGAAGAGAGGCGCCTATACACTTCTGAATGCTCTAACACCGGATTTCATTGGGTTCTCTGTCTCAGATTCCATGAAATTGGGATAGGGAATGCGAATATTCATCATGGCATTGGTAATTTTAAATTAACATTCCTTTCTTTGCAGACACTTCCTCATTGAGCACAATGAAAGTCAGGTGGTGAAGGAGAAGGAATTCTGAGTTGTGTATTGATTTGTACCGTACATATGTATTGCATGTACCTAATCTCCAGTAACGAAATCCATTGGAGGTAGGCGAATGAATGATGATGATGATGACAATGATGCAAAGTGTCAATGCCATGCAATACTAGGTAGCTCTGACTACCTCACCTACATACCTACTCAATGCCCGCAGTACTTGTGAACTGTAGATAGCAGATTCGATGATATATCGACGGCGTACTCGCAGTCTCGTACTTCACTTCCATTTCCATTTCCATCGATGAGATCTAACCTTTCTTGGTATGAGATAGAGGTCGAACGTTTTTTGTTGTGTACAGAATGCTTTACTGGGGATCTAATACCTACCTAGTACGTACATGATAGCAGCCACTACATTGTTAGATAAATGCCATTTACCATTGACCATTGACCATTGACCATTGACCATTGACCACTCATACTTGCACTTACTACCTACACATATACCTCCTACACATATACCCATCTCCTGCTGACTACACACACACCCCTCACGCCCACATCAACATTCAATATCGACAATCACGACCTTTTATTAAATTCACCCCTCACTCCTCACTCCACACCCACTCACCTCATCCACTCATTCCATTCGCAACCCACTATCCACTTCCCACCCACTTTTCAATTAGAAAAATTCCGTACCAAAGCCACTTCATGAGTGTCCAAGTTCCTAAATTCCAAGGGTCGAGAACTTCTTCTTTTCTTGTCTTTACTTATACTACTATACCTAGTACAAGAATAAACTTCCTCCAAAGAAAAAGACTTTCCAACTAAATTCTTCAGAATCAGTCCTCACTTGATTTATTACTTCACCTCGACCAATTTCTCATTTCTCATTTCTCATTTCTCCATTTGCTATTTTCCATTCTCCATTCTCCATTCTCCATTCTCCATCCTCCATCCTCCAATTCCCCCATTCTCCACATTCACTCGTTTCTCTTATCACCTACAAACCTAAACACCAAAATCAACCCTTTTTCTTTCCACTCGATAACCTGGTGCTGTATCCTATTGATCACTTGGGATCCGGAAAGCCTTTGAAACCCTACAAAATCAATCGCAGTTCACTTCAATTCATCACTAGAAACATCAATTGTGGAGAATTTCTACTACAACTCAATCCTGCCTACTATAATAACTACCAACCTACCACCAACCATACTTTCGCAAACAACCTTTCAGTATTCTGGACGTATTCGAGTTTATGATTGATATCATAGTTATCATACAAGTTTTGGAACAACGGAATAGGAAGTCAGCAAATCTAGAAACAGTAAAAAAGTCAAACGAAGAGGAGGTTATCTCTCTCGACAACAGGTCGTTCTGACCTTAAACCACATACTCCGCCACCAATCAACCCAACTCTTCTACCGGAAGCTATTAACGCAAAAATGGCGATAGTCCTCAATTCGGAAGAAAACTCCTACTTTTCGTCAAGTCCTCTTCGTCGATCACACTCACAGCCCAAATTCGTCACACAACCGTCGTCATATTCACAATCTCTATCTCGATCAAATAGCGTAAAATTCAACCCGATAATATCACCCAGTAATTCCTCGGTGTCTTCGGCACCATCGTCTCCCCAGACCCTACATGCCGATTCTCTCGCTCCTTCATACTCGTCAACGCCAGCTAGCAGCTTGTCACTCGATCATAGCGACGATGCAGACGATGAAGATCAAATTTACTTTCCCACATATGACGACACGGGATATTGCGATCAAATTGAAGATTTAGAGCCACCAACCAGTCCACATACCGACGATTCCTATGCTGTCTCACCCATCTCAAACGATACCTCTATAATCTCTCGACCTGGATCCCCAGAAGTAACACACGCACATGCCGAGGATGACACAGCACTACAAGCGAAACCTTCGCGGCACGTGGATTATTTATCACACAATTGGAAAGAAGAGGATATATGGGCATCATGGAAACTCATTGTATCAAAGGGGGGCGAATACTCTAATCATGAACGACTAGAAAATGCTTCGTGGAGAACTTGGATGAAGGCAAAATATAAACTCAAGACCGTTTCGCCCGAAACACTTAATTGGTATGTTTTCATGATTATACTGCTACTATTGTGAGCAGGGTGGATCGAAAAATAACTGACAATTTGTAGGTTGAAGGATTGTGATGTGACCTGGCTATATGGTCCACTTCAAGCTGGACCAACCACATTCAACGCCCCAGATACTTCTCCTGTCAGCAGCAGCAGGCTATCGAAATCAAATTCCTTTTTGCAAAAGAAGCCAATTCTCAAGAAACGAAGCATGTCCGAGATAATGCTTCAAAGGTCGTTGTCATCATCTTCATTACTCAAACAAGCTGCTGCTGCGGTCCAAGCACAGCAATCTGGGGATGGACGTCCTGGTATAATTAGGGCTTCATCTGACTACGTTCCCTATGAATTTGCAAGTAGACAATCCGAGCAAGCTGATTTAAGTATGCTTTCATCGGTTACCTCGTCAGGACTAATCACCCCCGGTACTGAAAAGAAACACATTAGTTTTAATGAACAAGTATCGCAATGTATAGCTTTGGAGGTCAAGGGCGATGATGATGATGAGCTGGACTACAGTACTCAAGACTTTGACGATAGTGACTCCGATGATGGAGCTATCATGATGAAGAGAAGCACTTCCAAACGACAACTCCCGCCGATGAGGAAGAGGATAATTTCCAGAGTCAACTCTATGACTGACAGCAAAACCATTGCAATGTTACCATCCACGACACTCAAGTACCGAGCAGATACCCCCGAGCCACAGGAAACAGCCATGAAGCACAGTGGGTCTTTTCTCGGAGGAAAATTGTCACCGTCACCCTCTCAAGACACATTGAGGCCTTCAAAACCATCAA